GGGGGGGGCCGCCGGGGCAGGGCGCGGGCCGCCGCACACCCTCTCGGAGCGCTCCGCATGGCACCTCCCTGGGGCTGGCGGCGCGGCTCCGGCGGCGGAGTGCGGGAGGCTGGACGGCGACCGGGATGCCCTCGAGCCAGCCGTGCGCGCCAGGCACCTGGGCGCGCCGCGCTCCAGCTCCGAGGGCGCGTCGGCTCCGAGCCGGCGTCCTTATATAGCGCGCCTTCCGGGCACCGCGGGTAGGTGCCCGCGACACCCGAGCATTTCTTATCAGGATTGCATCGAGCCTCCGCCCCCCGCACACACCCACTCACACCCCGCCCCCGGCCCCAGCCCCCTCCCGGGGCCCCGGAGGGAGGGGGCTCCTCCTCCGTGCTCGGGTGACCCCGCCCAGACCGTCCCGGAGGAGGAGGCCGCGCTTCTCGGCGGGGTCCCGGGGAGCCCCTCGCCGTGGCGCGGCGGCCCGCTGGTGCTTTGCTTTGCGCGTTTGATTTTTTAAAGCAATAAAGTAAATGACTGGGGCCCCTCCCGCAGGCCACGGGCTCCCGAGTGGATGCGCCTGGGGCGGGGCGCTAGCAGGGGCGGGGGCAGGAAAGCTGCGACCAGAGATTGGGGGGCGCTGAGCTTTGCCTCCTTCATCCACTGTCCGAAAAAGCCTCGCCTGGGCTTTAGAGCCCCCTCCCCTCAAAAGACCCCATCCGCTCCCTCCCCGACATTCCCAGCCCGGCACATCTCGTGAGGTCAAAGCCGACCATTAGAATTTCCCTCTGCAGATCGGACCTTCTCACGTTCTCACGGCTTTATCTCGGTCTCCGCCCCGGCCCCTTTTATCCTAGTAAATTGTCCCCCGACGGGGGCCAGGCGCGATCCTCCCGCTGAGACAGGGAGGGCGTCTGCGGCGGGGCGGGCACTAGATGGCGCTTCGGCCTCAGTCTCGGCCTCTGCCCAGCTCGTGGGCCGCGCGCCCACTCCGTGTTCTGGGTCTGTCCCCAGAACACCCAGCCCCGCGGCGGTCCCCGGACGTGGAATCTGGAAGGGTGGTCATGGGGAAGGAGCCTTTCGGGCAGGGTGGGCTGGCAAACTGCGGGACTGGCAAACTCTGTCTTGGCAGCTTGGGCCCGGGCACGCGGCGCAGGGAGGTAGGACTGGTCCTCCCGACCCCTCTGTTTTGGAGGTTCCTTATGTCACGTTGGTGGTCGGGTCCTTGTGTCCCTGAGCGCGGGGGACAAGGGGAGCCGCACGTTCGGAGAGGTCGGGAGCTCCTGACCTGGGGGAGAGGGGTGAGGGACAGGGATGGGTGCCACTGGCCTCTGGGCAGGCACCAGGTGGGGAAGGGGGGGTCCACTCAGTGTAGTGTCTCCTGCAAGTAAAGAAAACGACAACCAGGGAATACCCAGGCGGGGAAGAAAGGGGTCTTCCTGGGGGCTTCGACTTAACACTGGTTCTTTCTCATTATTGCTCCAATCCCCCAACTCCTGCGTGGGGCCCCAGGAGGCTGGTTTGGGGGAAGAGCCAACCTGGCCTTGGCAAAGGCGATGGGGAGGGCAAACGGCGGGGACAGCACGAGAGATGCCAGGCCTAATGAATTTCAATGAGCGAAGACCACATTCATACTCCAGTCTGTGACTGGCGTTAATGATGGAGCGTGCAGAAAATGTCACCAGGAAAGTCTTTACAAAAAGACGTCATCTAGAAGGCTTTTTAGACCACGGACCCCCACGCTGTGCGTCTTGGTTCAGAAAGCCGTGGCTTCTGTTAAATCTAATTACTTCCCCCCTGTGGCTTTAAATCGACAGCGGCTCCTATTAAACTTAATTACCCTTCCCTGCAGCTTTCGTTTTTAAGAGCCATAATAAATGTGGGCACAGAGGAGGATGACAGCGGCTCTTTCGGGGGACGTACCCCAAATCAGGCTGGGGGTGGGGAGATGGCAGCCTCTGGCTCCCCTCCCCCATACCCCTCTGCTGTCCCTTCTAGGGACACGGGGAAAAAAGAGTGACCACCGAGATCAGGGAGCTCAGGGGACTGGCCGAGGCACCAGCTGACCTGCCTAGAGGGCTTCCTATGCCCTAAGCACTTTATAGGTGTTCTCAGCTTAAATCCCCACAAGAACCCCTGTGGTATTCTGTTTCTCCCCATTGAACAAGTGGGAAATAGGGACCCCACAAAGGTGGCAGAGTGACCCAAGGCTGTACAATCTGTAAGTGGCGAAGCTGGAATTTGAACCCAGACAGTCTGGCTTGTAGACCCAGGCTGTGCTGCCTTTCAGGGAGGGCTCCAGGGTCAGACCCATTGCGGCTGGCCGCTCCCTGAGCAGGTCATGAACCGCCGGGGTCTTCAGCCTTCTCCTGAGGTCGCATGGAAGAGTGGACCCTCTTTCATAAAGTACCTGAGATGTAATTCATAAAGACAACCACGGCCCATCCTGACAGTCGGCTATATACCAGGCATTTTACAGTCACAAGAGTGTTTAGGTGATTGATCCTGCTACGTGTGAGGAAACTGAGGCTTACAGCCAGCGAGGGTTTGCACCCTGGTGGGCCGGGAACCCAAGCTGGGGTGTTTGCTGGTACCCCCTGATGTGTATGGTTGGAGGAAGCCAAAGGCGGCTCTGGCCAGCAGGGGGCGCTGAGGCTAACTGTTGGGGTCTCCAGGTAAGAGCTGAGAGCTGAGGTGTTGCAGGAGGTGAGGACCTCCTCCCGAGGGGCTCCATGTACACCCAGATCCTGGAAGCCCCCAATGTGCGTGTTGGGCTCACTTTTATTTTTCAGGTTGCATATGATTTTCTCCAGGTGGCTGAGCCAACTGAATTGCCCTGGTGAGATTTCGTTCATTGAATGGTGTGGCTGGTGGTGAATAGGTCCAAGCACCCCCGCTGCCCGGCCCCAGGGGTCTTGGGTCCAGATGGCCAGAAGGACTTGGCTTGGTGGCCTTGTTCTGGATTTAATTTTAGCTGAGATTGTTTTAACTGTACTGTTGAACACTAAATCCTTTTTTCCCTCCTTCCTTCCATCTGAGCATGTGCAGGTTGCCCCATATTTCTGATTGTGGCAAATGAAAGATTTTCATCATATCTAAACCCATGTTCCAGCGACTAAGAGAATCTTATTCATCTTCACTCCCAGTCTTTACGTGATGAACGTAACTGAATAAGAAGTTTTTCTTTTATTTTACAGTTAGAAATTTACATTACACTGTCAAGTGTGCATTAAGTACCTAAGCACTCCCCCGAACCCCTCCCAAATCCCCTGCCCCACCTTGTGGTTGAAAATTGTTTCGTAATTAGAGAAACTTCTGGGTGTTGGTAAAAATCTTCATCAGAAATACGAACTGCAACAGAGCGTGGGTGAGGGAGGCCGAGCCCACATTGCTGGTTACTGGCCAAGCTGAAACAAACGCAGGGGCTCCTGAATCTCAGCCTAATATCTTTGCTAGAACCTGCTAGAAGAACATGCATTATTTTCCCCAAGGCTTTCTGATTCACCAAAACCCGTTTTTTCCCCTATAAGGATTGTTGTTCTAAAAACAGGACACCCAGCTAGCCCAGAAAGTGGCAGGGGTCACAGCAGAGTGGAAGAAGGGAAGACCTCTTTGAGCCTCAGCTTCCTCACCTGTAAAACAGCAAAAGGACTTCTCAATTTACAGCGTTAGTATGAGAATTAGAAAAGGTCCCTCTATTTATCAATCGATCAATGTTTATATAAAGATTGCCTGGCACATGCAGGTATATAATAGAAGGGGTAGCTGTTGTTTTTTATTTAAATGCTACTCTCTGGCTATCTTTGCAACATTTATTATTATTTTAAAATTTAATGGCAAATC